TTTATTTACGTAAAGGGTGGTAGGTGCGTGGAATGTGCTGCCAGGGGAGGTGGTAGAAGCAGGTATGATAGCAACTTTTAAGAGGCACTTAGACAAGGCACTGGAACAGAAGGATATGGACCATGTGCAAATGGGTGGGATTAGTTTAGAATGGCATCATGGTCAGTGCAGATATGGTGGTTCAAAGGTCTGTTCCTGTGCTGTACTATGTTCTGTATCATTGTCCATTCAAACCTGGCTGCTTTCCGAGGTTTGCTGCTTTCGGGCACACTCAGCGTCAGTGTTAAGGAGTTGCAGCTGGTGCAATGTCATGCAATCATACGCGAATACCTCCACTTCTGACTTTATGATGAAGGGAAGGTCATTGAAGCAGTTGAAGATGTTTGGGCCTAGGGCACTACCTGAGAAACTCCTGCAATTATGCACTAGAGCTGAGACAACCACTTTCTAACAATGACAGCATCTTCATTGTGCTTCATATGACTCCAATTAGCAGAGAAATTTTCCCCTTGATTCCACTGTCAGTTTTGCTAGGATTCCTTGATGCTACTGTCGGTCAAATGTGACCTTGATGTTGAGTGCAGACACTCTCACCTCGGCTGTGGAGTCCAGCTGTTTTGTCCACGTTTACGGACCTCAGCTACAATGAGGACAGGAGCTGAGTAGCCCTAGTGGAACCCAGACTGGCATCACTGAGTGGGTTGTTACTTAGCAACCACAGCTTGAAAGCAGTTGGGTGATGAACTTGAGTAGATCGACAAGGCAGTGCTCGGCTGGGTGGGATTTGTCCTGAAATACTGGAACAGCTCTGCTAGGAATATGGCATGTTCTAGACATGTCCTATGTTGCCTGAATATTGTCAACATTCATAGCCTTTGTAGTATCCAATGCCTTCAACCATTTCATGATATCACATAGCATGAATTGATTTGGTTGAAGACTGGCATGTGAGATGTGGACACCTCTAGATGATGCCAGAATGGATCATCCACTTAACACTTCTAGCTGAAGATTGTTGCACAGGCTGCAGCCTTGATCTTTTCACTGATGTGCTGTACTCTCCCATCATTGAGGATTGGGATATTTTTGGAACTGATACCTCCAGTGATTTCTTCAGTTGCCCTCCACCATTCATGACTGGATGTGACATGTTGCAGAGCTTAGATCTGATCTGTTGTTTGTGGGAGCACTGTCTCTTCCTGCTAATGCTGTATTTATATAAGTAGCCCTGTGTTGCGGCTTCACCAGGTTCACACCTTGTTTTCAGGTATGCTTAACGCCCTCCTGTGCTCTTTATTGAACCAGGATTGGTACCCCTGACTTTATGGTTGTGGCACAGTGGAAGACATGATGAGCCTTGAGGTTGCAGAGGCAGTTCAGCTGTTGCTGATAGCCCGTAGCACTGCATAATACCCAGGCTTGAGTTGCAAGGTCTGTTCAAAATCTTATCCTGTTTACTATAGTGGTAGTGCCACACAACACAATGGAGGGTATCCTCCATGTTAAGATGGGACTTTGTCTGCCCAAGAATGGGTGATCGCTCAGTTAATGCAGTCATGACAAATGATGCATCACGACAAGCAAATTGGAGAGGATAAGGTCAAGTTTGCTGTTCCCTCAGGTAATGTTATGTCGGATTATTGATGCGTGAACCAGAGGTTTTAAGTTAAAATCCCAATATTACACGCTTTAAAACATTTTTTGAGACAAATTGACGTTATATTATTAAGCTATTGGTAAAGACAGCAGTGGTTCAGTGACGAGTCCCAATCAATTCAGTTACTAGGGATATGCCACTCATACTTTGAGAACAGGTTTTATGTACAAGAAAAATCAGAAGGGTAAAAAACCCATTGGAAAAGGTGATAATATTAGTTGACTGCACAAATTCATGTGGATTGTATCCATAATTATATGCTAGTCTCTTATTGTAACACACAATGTAGCACTATTACTGATAAAATGCAGTGCGTTAATTAGTCCCTTGTGGTATTTGCAAAATACCTTTTTCTATAATAGGCTTTTTGTACAGTTCCCCAAAGCATTTCAAACAGGCAGTAGGCTGTATGCTGCAGTAATTTGTTAACAGCTCCTCTGGATAAGTAATTTGAAAAATTATCTAAACAGTCCTACCTTGTTAAAATAAAATGTCCCCTGCATATGTGAATTTACATTTTTATTTTTGTTTATCAAGAAATAGTCTGTTTAGAGATTTGCCTGAGCAGCAAAAGACTCATTTCTATGTTAAATTTGAATTATCTGGAATAATTTTACTGAATTATTAGCTTATAAATGTTGGATATCTGTGTTGCTGTCTTATCCCACCAGGTCATGTCCACAGGGAGGACATGGAACAGATACCAAAAAGACTTGATTTTTAATCGGTTCAGATGGGACTGTTTCCTCCTTTTAGGAAGACCTCTTTCAAGCAGTTTGTTTTATTTGTATCTCTAGTGGTAAATAATTTTGAGTCAAAATACTTCCCTTCCTGCACGTTTTCCGATTAAATTCTTAACAAATCAAGTTTATGAAGGCTGATGCTGAAAATGGGCAGCTGTTAATTAATTCTTTTAATGTTGCGTGGTTAGCTTCTTTCTTTGTTACGACAGTTCTTAGAGTGAGCAATTATTCAACTCTTTTAATGTTGAAGTGTGGCCCAATCGATTTTTGGCAATTATTAACTATAGAATAACAATGTAATATAAGGGAGCCATTTGATTTGCTATTTGTTGAACTATCATTCAGTTTTAGTCAAATATCTGTCATTCAGAAATCATCATAATCCGTTGTTAAGGAAATAATAATGGGACATTTGAAAAGTCAAAACACCATCCATCAGAGTCAACATGGTTTTATGAAGGGTATAACATGTTTGATGGGTCTTTTTCTGGTTGGTCAAACGTAACTAATGGTGTGGCTCAGGGTTTGGTCCTTGAGGCCCCAACTATTTCTAGTCTTGGATCAGGAGGATAAAGCCGAATTTGCAGCTACTATTATTAAAATAGTTTGGAAAGTAAGTTACAGTAAAGAAATAAATTTACAAACAGATAAAAATAGGTTAGTTGAATGGACCAAAATTTGGCAAATGATGTTTGACATGGATAAGTGCACGGTGTCCATTTTGTCAGAGGAATAGGAAGGCTACTTAAGTGGCAAGAAACTTCGGGGTGCTTCAATGCAGAGGGATCTGGGTGTCCTCAACTACAAGTTGTAGAAAGCTAGTATGCAGATATAGCAGTTGCTAAGGGAGGCAAATGGAGTTATGGCATTTATTGCCAAAGTAATAAAGTATGAAAGGAGGGAAGTATTGCCGTGGCTGTACCCAGCATTAGTGAAAGTGCACCTGAAGAATTGTATACAGAATTGGTCTCCTTACTGAAGAAGGGTATGGTTGCATGGGAGGCAGTTCTGAGGACATTCATGGAATTGATTCTAGAGATGAGGGCTTTGTCTTGAGAGATTGAGCAGTTTAGACCTATATTCTCCAGAGTTTAGAATGAGAGTGATCTAATTGAGGCATGTAAGATACTAAAGGAGATTAACAAAGTCGATGTAGAAAGTATGTTTCCTCTTTATTGTGCAATCTAGAATGCGAGGTCATAACTTTAGAATGGGGGTAGCAGATTTAAACCAGAGATGAGAAAATATTTCTAAAACACAGGGTCATTTACTTCTGGAATTTCCTATCCCAGACTGTGGTTGATGCTGGTACATGGAGTAAATTTAAGGAGAAGATAAGTAGATCTTTAATTAGTAACAGGTGGAAATGGAAAGTGGGAAGGAAACTGGAGTTGAGGCTGAGGTGAGATCAACCATGATCATATTAAGTGGTGGAAAAGGCTCAAGGGGCTGAATCATCTACTCTTCTAGTTATTGTGTTCTTACTATCCATGTCATTATATGAAGTCTACATTTGCTTAATGGTTAAAGAACTTAATTAAATTTCTGTGTGTCAAGTTAATTAAATGTTTCTCCCCTTTTCCCTTCTCTGAATATGTTATTGTAAGGTATATGACAATCTACCTCTTATCCTATGAAGTAGGGAATCGACTCAGCTGTTGGTCATAACCATCAATATTGGCAGCCTAGTTCACTATATGCCTGTGCAATTGAATCGGTTTCCATCTAATACCCACAAATCTATCGGGCAGGTTGCTGTACAATAAACAGTGACAGGAGCCTTCACTTCGCGCACATCCAGGGTTGCTGAAACCAGTTGTAGTTGTGTTCCTGAAATCGTCTAACTTTGGTTGATGTAAAGGCACACAAGTAAAGAACATCACTGGGTTTAAAATTTTTGAGAAGACTTGTAGCTCAGGTTGTGCATGAGGTTGTTGATTTGTTCGCCGAGCTAGTAGGTTGGTTTGTTTCACCCGTAGGGGTTTATATTTTTGAGAAAACTTGTTAAATCAACATCACTGGATGTTTGTTTTACTGATTTGACCAGAAGGGAATATAAATCTTTTGTCTGAGATCCAGCTTCCCCAATAATATTCAATCAGTGAAATTGCTTGCATGGGTGTTATTTTCATGTAACTGGAAATTCAGCTATTTTAGATTTTCACACATTTGAACACTGGATGATGATCTGCTTTCAGTAAATATAAGACCATAAGACATAGGAGCAGAAATTAGGCTATTCAGTCCATCAAGTCTGCTGTGCCATTCAATCATGGCTGATAAGTTCCTCAACCTCATTCTCTTGCTTTCTCCCTGTAACCCTTGATCCCCTTGCTAATCAAGAACCTATCTATCTCGGTCTTCAGTGTACTCAATGACCTGGCCTCCACAGCCTTCTGTGGCAGTGAATTCCATAGATTCACCACTCTCTGGCTGAAGAAGTTTTTCCTTATCTCCATTCTAAAAGGTCTTCCCTTTATTCTAATACCTTACTGTCTTAGTAATCAGGATATTCTTGTGAATTTGATGTATTTTTTAATGGGGTGGGGATTGCATGTTTTACACAATGTAGCTATAATAATGTGTTGCTCCTTTTGCAGCAATGAACAGCTCTGTGCCTTGTGCTATTGTGGTGAACGCAGCTCACTGGGGCAGGGTGAGTTGAAAAGATTCAACCCAACTCCAGATTTTATAGTACTAAGGAAGAGCCCATCTCAAGCAAAACAAGATGGTACTGATAGTTTGGAGGATGTTAATGACAAGAACCACAAACAATGTCCCTCTTCACAAATGTGGCAGCAAAAGTGAGTAATTATCTTATTCATTAAAAAAGCTTTTTTCTTCTGTCCCATTTTTGATCTGTTTTGATCTTGTCAAAATCTTATGCCTTTCATTAGTAACTGGAATTCTTGGATTCTGGATAGGAAGGTATTTGTTTTACATTGTAGTGCTTCAGATTGCAGAAATTCACTTTTTTAACTTGGTGCCATGGGATTCACTGAGGAAAGGTCATGAGATTGTGGCAAGGGGTACATGGAATGTGTGGGAATATTTATGGGACTGCCAATATGACCCATGCTGAATTGATGCCTGATTTTCAGAATACTCCACTAGTATTTGACTAAATTGCGTAAATGGCTTTGTGGGTTTTTTAAAAAGGAACTTCTATTGGCCTCCATTCTGAAAGAATGTACACCATTTGAAACTCCAGATGTAATTTCATGGCTGAATATTTACTGCCAAAACATGTTCCACATGGTAGGCTCATTGAGAAAGTAAGGAGGCATGGGATTTGAGGAAATTTAGCTGTCTGGATACAAAACTGGCTGTCCAATAGAAGAAAGTGGGTGGTAGTAGATGGAAAGTATTCAGCCTGGAGCTCGGTGACCAGTGGTGTTCCGCAGGGATCTGTTCTGGAACCCCTGCTCTTTGTGACCTTTATAAATGACTTGAATGAGGAAGTGGAAGGGTGAGTTGATAAGTTTGCCAATGATACGAAGGTTGGTGGAGTTGTGGACAGTGTGGAGGGCTGTTGTAGGTTGCAATGGGACGTTGACAGGATGCAGAGCTGGGTAAAGAAGTGGCAGATGGAATTCAACCCAGAAAAGTGTGAAGTGATTCATTTTGGAAGGTCGAATTTGAATGCAGAATACAGGGTTAATGGTAGGATTCTCGGCAATGTGGAGGAACAGCGGGATCTTGAGGTCCACGTCCATAGATCCCTCAAACTTGCTACCCAAGTTGATAGGGTTGTAATGAAGGCGTTTGGTTTGTTGGCTTTCATTGGCAGGGGAATTGAGTTTAAGAGCCATGAGGTTGTGCTGCAGCTCTATAAACCTCTGGTTAGACCAGACTTGGAATATTCATGTTCAATTCTGGTCACCTCATTACAGGAAGGATGTGGAAGCTTCAGAGAGAGTGCAGAGGAGATTTACCAGGATGCTGCCTGGACTGGAGGGCAGGTCTTGTGAGGAAAGGTTGAGGGAGCTTGGGCTTTTCTCATTGGAATGAAGAAGGATGAGAGGTGACTTAATAGAGGTGTACAAGATGATGAGAGGCATAATAGAGTGGATACCCGGAGACTTCTTCCCAGGGCGGAAATGACTATTACAAGGGGGCATAATTTTAAGGTGATTGTAGGAAGGTATGGAGGAGATGTCAGAGGTAGGTTCTTGACACAGAGAGTGGTGGGCGTGTGGAATGTGCTGCCGGCAGTGGTAGTGGAGTCAGATATTTGAGACTTTTAAGTGACTCTTGAATAGGCACATGGATGATAGTAAAATGTAGGGTATGCAGGATAGATTGATCTTAGTAGGATAATAGGTCGGCACAAGATTGTGGGCTAAAGGACCTGTACTGTGCTGTACTGTTCTATGTTCTATGTTGTGGGCTATGTTATTATTTGTATTCATGTAGGAGGGGAAAAATGGAAAAAGTTAATTATACATAATGCTGATTGAATCAGAAGGACAGATGCACCAGTTAATTTACTGTGTTTCATTTGTTCATAAAGTTGCCATTATAAATGCTAGTTCATGTCCTATGTGTTATACCAAGGGAATGGAGAGGTGGGATAATAAACGGGTATCTTTCATAAAGAGGTTGAAAGAAGATGGAAGAAGGGACTGCCTAAGAGAAGACAGTTGGTGAATTTTTAGAATGGTCTTGGGGAGCCAATTGAAACACGTAAGATCAGTCATTTTCGTGCAGAATTGGGACAGGTTTTTGAGTAGAAAATTAAATGAAGGATATAAGCCGTATTCTGATATTCGAATTCATAGGCCAACCTAACAGGTTGAAATAGTGCTGTAGCCTTTCGTAAGAAAAAAAAAGACAAGTACAGCGCAGGAATAGGCTCTTTGACCCTCCAAGCCTGTGCCGATCATCATGCCCTGACTAAACGAAAAAGCAAACTTTCTGCCCTTGGTCCATATCCCTCTATTCATTCCCTGTTCAAGTAACACTCCAGTTACCTCTTAAATGTCACCAACGTGCCTGTTTCCACCAGCTCTTCTGGCAAGTGCGTTCCAGGCTCCTACCACTGTCTGCATGTAAAAATTGCCTCTCGCATCTCCCTTAAACTTTCCCCCCTCACTTTGAACCTGTGCCACCTTGTAATTGAAACTTCAAGCCTGGGAAAACGGTCTCTGAATATCCACCCTATCTATGCTTATCATAATTTTGTAAACTTCTATCAGGTCTCGTCTCAACTGGCGTATTTCCAGTGAAAACAATCCGAGTCTTTATAACCTTTTCTCATAGCCTTGAGACCAGGCAACATCCTGGTGAACCTTCTCTGCCCTCTCTCCAAAGCTTCCATTTCCTTCTGAGATAACACGGTGTAGAGCTGGATGAACACAGCAGGCCAAGCAGCATCAGAGGAGCAGGAAAGCTGACGTTTCGGGTCGAGACCCTTTTCCAGAAATGTGGGAGGGGAAGGGGATTCTGAAATAAATAGGGAGAGAGGGGGAGGCGGATAGAAGATGGATAAAGGAGAAGATAGGTGGAGAGGAGACAGACAGGTCAAAGAGGCGGGGTTGGAGACAGTAAAGGTGAATGTAGGTTGGGAGTTAGGGAGGGGATAGGTCAGTCCAAGGAGGACAGACAGGTCAGGGGGGCGGGATGAGGTTAGTGGGTAGGAGATGGGGGTGGGGATTGAGGTGGGAGGAATGGTTAGGGAGGCGGGGACGAGCTGGGCTGGTTTTGGGATGCGGTCGGGGGAGGGGAGATTTTGAAGCTTGTGAAGTCCACATTGATACCCTTGGGCTGCAGGGTTCCCAAGTGGAATATGAGATGCTGTTCCTGCAGCTTTCGGGTGGCATCATTGTGGCAATGCAGGAGGCCCAGGATGGACACGTCGTCCAAGGAGTGGGAGGGAGTTGAAATGGTTCGCGACTGGGAGGTGTAGTTGTTTGTTGCGAACCGAGCGTAGGTGTTCCGCAGAGTGATCCCCAAGCCTCCGCTTGGTTTCCCTGATGTAGAGGAGGCCACAACGGGAACAGCAGATACAGTATACCACATTGGCAGATGTGCAGGTGAACCATTCCTCCCACCCCCATCTCCTACCCGCTAACCTCATCCCGTCTGCTTGACCTGTCCGTCCTCCCTGGACCGACCTATCCCCTCCCTAACTCCCCACCCACATTTATCTTTACTGGCTCCAACCCCGCCTCTTTGACCTGTCTGTCTCCTCTCCACCTATCTTCTCCTCTATCCATCCTCTATCCGCCTCTCCCTATTTATTTCAGAATCCCCTTCCCCTCCCCCATTTCTGAAGAAGGGTCTCGACCCAAAACGTCAGCTTTCCTGCTCTTCTGATGCTGCTTGGCCTGCTGTGTTCATCCAGCTCTTCACAGTGTTATCTCAGATTCTCCAGCATCGGCAGTTCCTACTATCTCTGTAAAAATTTTAACCCCACTGCAAAGCCTCTTCTAAGGATGCCCACCTTTAAAGAAGTTGCCCTCCTCCCTCCGGAAAAACCTCAGTGTATCCCTCTCCCACTGCAACCCTGTTGTAAACTCTTTGGCCCTGAAACTGCTCGACCACGTCCTAAAGCAAACCAGGTACTACAGCCACATTGCCTTTGTGTACCTGCCTACGGAACCGGATCATCCCCAATGGACTACAGTCTACATTTAAGCCTTCCCAATTTGGCCCCAGCCGTGACGACCGCTACATTCACAACATTGATATCCTACAGAAGCGTTTCTCCCTGCGACTCCTGAAAGACACACTCGCTGCAATGTGCCGGCATCTCCAGGCACTACAATCAAGCCTACCTCAGCTCAGAGCCTCCCTCTCCCAGACCTGCAAAGGACCTCTCCTGTTTTTTATTCTTCGTAAGATCCACAACCTGAACTCTCAATTCTATTCTGCTTTAATGGACACTAAAAACCGAAAGTACTTTAAACTTATTGGTGCCTGCCACCCTACCCAGGACCTTCCCCACCATGTGCCTGCCGCCATTGGCCATGTGGCCACCTTTGGAGCACCAACGGTTTCCACTGATGACGTCACATCCGCCACCGCCCGGTACACCACTTGAGGTGCAGCCAACGCCACTGACACCACTGCTGATGCCGCCGCCTCCGCCTCCGTTTCTGAGGCCGACATAGACATTGAGGACGCCGCTGCCACCAACATCCAAGATTTACCAGCCGACGTTGCTCCGCCCACCTCTGTCGCTCCACCCACCACCGACATCACTCTGCCCACCGCTGACGTCGCTCTGCCCACCACCACCTCAGCCAGCAACTCCAGAGGAGACAGTAGCACCCAGTCCTACCGAGTCTTCACCATCCCCCCAGACCTCCCCCTTACTGAGGGTGAACGGTCAGTCCTCAGTGAAGGGCTCACCTTTGTCCCCCTCCACCCAAACATCAAGTACAACTCACGTTTGGACATTGAGCAGTTTTTACGCCGCCTCCGCCTCCGCGCTTACTTCTTTAACCGTGAGCCTAACCCTCCATCTACTGACCCCTTCTCCCGCCTCCAACACACCCTCTCCTCCTGGACACCACCCCAAGGCCTCCTACCCTCCCTCAACCTCTTCATGTCCAACTGCTGTCGAGACATCGATCGCCTCAACCTCTCCACCCCTCTCATCCACTCCAACCTCTCCCCCACAGAACGTGCAGCCCTCCTCTCCAATCCCAACCTCACCACAAAACCCGCGGGCAAGGGAAGCGCAGTTGTAGTATGGCGCACTGACCTCTACATCACCGAGGCCAGGCGCCAACTCTCTGACACCTCCTCCTACTGCCCCCTTGATCATGATCCCACCCCCAACCAGCAAACCATCATC